ATCAGATTTGACCAACATCAACCACCCAATGTAATCCCATAGGTGGGATGGTCGAGTGTACGTAGATTTTACCCCTACCTTGTGGAGGTAGAGAGGCCAACCTGAAACCCCCCCCCCCCCCCCGAACAAACATTTTAACCGTCAAATTTCAAAATGGCTCATGTTCAGTGTCAATTGTTAGTGTAGTTCATTTGCTGTAGAAGTACAATAACATTACCAGTTTCAAAAAAAGCTAGAAGGTTTATTTTATGCTGCTATCTGGATGTTGTCAATATGTAGACAGATGTAGGCTCATGTAGCTGAGTGATATTAACAAATTTTAGTTTGAGGACGTTCCTATGTCGAAAAATTAGCTGATTCACAAACACTACTTCAGCTGCATATTCTGAAGTAGTCATGTACCATATTTCAAGCAAAGATGTGCCAGATATTTTCTTCCTTGTGTTTGAAATCTAGTCTGACAGCTCTTTCTCAATACAGGTTATGATAACTGTCTCTATGCGACTACTGGGTATGTACATCTAACCAAATCATTATTCAACTACACATACACACACACACTAGTGTATTCTTGCCCTCCTCCAATAGTAATGTTCGTTTTCTGATTTTAAACTTCACAGGGGTAAAAAAGCTATCTTTAATAATGCAACCGTTGGTCCTTCCAAGTCTACATCTTCATCCCCTCAAAGGAGTTACTGGTGGACTCAATATCTACTTGTGGCTTTTCCTTTGTTCTTTCTGGTACCTTTCTGAACATGTCTCGGATGAATAGAATGATGTCTATTCCAGAATCAAAAAATGTAAAAGCAGGATAATTCTAGGTGATATAAGTTTCCCTTGAGAAGGCTCAAATGTGTTGGAGCCAAGGATGCTTGGGTTATTGATGCAGATGTCACCTATACTGCACAAATTTTGTAAGATATCCAAGGTAGAGATCCTTGGTAGATGTAAAATAGAAGATATTCCATTCAAACTGTGGAAACATTTGTAATCCATATTGTTTGTGACTGGTTAGCAAACTTGGTTCCAATTCATTTTAGCTAATCTTTGTAATGAAGTTTCCACAAACTCTTCAATTGGTCCTATATAAATCAGAAAAGTTGGTCTGTTTAAAGTCAGTCTACATCTCATCCCTTGTTTGTGGTGTGGCTCCTCTGACCCTGCTCACACAATGTTCTATTCACCATGTTCTGTGTGGTCCTTTTTATTTAAGATGAAGCATCTCTCAATAGTTTTCAATCTTAACTGCTCTATGCTGGAAAAAGTTGTCCTTTTGAATAAGGTGTGGCCATTAGGTCAAAGAAGTATGTACAATTTGCCTAGTTGGGACTGAGGTTGAGGTGTATCATAATTGTTGTATTTTAGTTGGCTACAACAGTTTTGGGGTGCTAAAAAGGAGATTATTGTGTGTGTGTTAGTACATGAAGAGGAAAAAACATCAAGAAGAGGATGAGCCAATCAACCTTACTATTTTCGGCGTAACGAGGTTTTAATCTCGCACCCCCTAGCCAGATTCAGTCCCCAAGGGGGTCAATCAAGCCTTTGAAACTAGTAGAAATATTTGTCATAGTCAGAGTTTCTGCTTTCAACGAGAGTTTCTTAGCTTGTCAAACTCTCCTTCAATAGGTCTTTGATTTATGTGGACTGAATTTGTGGTGGTGAGGTGGGTGGAGGGCATCTGATATAAGGGGTAGTCAATACAAATATACACAGAAACAGCAGCTAAGCATGTCAGAATAAGATTTTGACAGATGAAAAACCCAGGAGCTGTATATTACACAAGCCAAATTTTGTGCAAAGTGAAATCCAGTTATAGGTACCAACAACAAATTCCCCTCTCAAAAATAATCAGAGGGTCTCACTTGAAAATAATTTAAACCAATTCTTGCAAAATCAAAATACAAAGAGAGAACTGTTGAATCCAGAAAGGTATCATATCTAACACTTCCCAACTCTTGAGTATCCATCATCAGCAAACACCACAATCTTCAATACAAACATATTGAAAAGAAATTCTGCAACCATTTCAAATGAAAGCAGGTAATTAGAAAGTCAATCTTGCGTAAGAAAATACCGGGAAGAAATAGCAAAGGTGAACACTTACCCAACAAATTAATAACCTTGCTCAACGAGATAATCACCGAGCCTCTCAACAACCAAGTTACACTGGCCTGGAGTCATTGGTTCATCATAGATACCAATAAGTAGAGCCTGATTAGTCTTTTTGATAGTAATACCACCCGGTCCCTGGAAAAAAAAGAATGGAATGTCACGAACAGCCATTTGAACAAGGCTTTTCTAAAACAAATTTGATTCAGTTCAATTCATCTCCAAATAAGTACGAACTTTCCACAACTTTCTGAAATGTAATATTAATTCTGGTTGTTTAACAGAAAAGATCCTGTAGTACATATACACCCTCAACGAACACTAGATAATTATGCTATGCGTCGCTTGAACAGAATGCACAACCTACTATTGTCTGCAGTTTCAATTCAACAAGATTCTGAATGTTATAAAAGATACCTTCTTTCCTCGAATGACAACCCCAGGTTCCCCTTGAATGACCATGTACTTTGAGCCACCAAGATGCAGGCCAGTTGGTGCAAGTGAACCGGGCTCATTAAAATCGTTCAGGATGGCATCAATCTCTGAGGGTTTGAACTACAATAGCATGGATATCGATAAGTTGCAAAATCTTTGTAAATGAGTCAAGATTGAAAAAATAGAAGGCAAACATATTCATAAATAACTTGCAATTGATTACAAAAACAACCAATCTTGTCTACTCACAACATTAGTGTATTAGCATCAAGTCTTTATTGCACATTCCTCAATAGTTCTTCAATAGAACTCAACATTGCCTTTATTCAAAACCATTTTCAGTCAATCATTTCACTAGGTCTAAAACTAGTTAAAATCATCTAAATGAATCCTCCATATCGATTCCTACCATCTATTTATCAAGCTTAACTTTCCACTATTTACCACATTTTCAGTAGTTCTTTAGTGACATTGAACATTGCTTTATTCAAAACCATACTCAATCAATCATTCCATTAGTCCAAGTTAGTCAGGATCAACTAAAAAACCTCTATATTGATTCTACCATCAGCATCAAGATCTAGTCTTCAACATATCTCTCAGTAGTTCTTCTTGGGCAGTGTTCAGGGAAGCGTGAAGCGGAAAAAAGCGATAAGGCCCCGCTTCACACTTTAAGTGATGAAGCGCTCGCTTTAAGCGATGAAGTGCTCACATATTCATTCTAGTCTGTGAAGCGTAGAAGACTCGCATCGCTTCACTTCATCACTAGAGCTCGCTTTCCTAAGCACTCTTCATGGGAACTCAATATTATCTTTGTTCGAAACCATTTCCAATCAATCAGTTGCTCAGTCCAAGCTAGTCAAGATCATAATACTCTATACCGGATCCTACCATCTACTTATCAAGATCAAGCCTTTACCACTCGACATTGATTTTATTCTTTCAATCACCCAAAAAAAAGATAAAACGACAACAGATAAAATGACAAACATCTTTCAATCACCCAAAAAAAGATCCCAAATTAGATATAAACAAATCAATCTGAATTCAACATCAAATCCAATTGAACAAAAAAAAAACATTTTTTACTAAATAGATCTTTCAATCAATCTCAAATCTAAATCAATCATCTTCCTCTCAGAATCATGTCAATTTCTCTAATGCTGCTCAACCAATAGTTATCATCCTGATAGTCTCCATTCTCCTTGCTTCCAATATTATTGATTTTCTTAAATAATAACTATTAGTTGAGTAAGCACCAGAGAAATCAACTAAATCTCAGAACCCCAAATCAGTCAAAGATCCAAACTTTTTTCCTGTTTAATCGCTAAATTTGTTTGTATGATTCACAAAAACATTTTTTTTTAAAAAAAGACCTGAGGGAAAGTTCAGCAAACAAATCATTCCACAAAATCCAAGCTAGTCAAGATCATGAATCCTCTATATGGAATCCTACGATCTGCTTATGAAGATCAAGTCTTAAACACTCAACATTGATCTTTTCAAAACCATTTTCGATCAAATCATTTCTCTTATTCAAAGCAAGTCAATATCAGCATATAAATCAAAACCATTTTCAAACAAATCATTCAACAGAATACAAGCTAGTCAAGATCATAAATCCTCTATGTCAGATCCTACCATCTACTTATCAAGATCAAGTCTTTACCACTCAACATTGATTTTATTCCAATTTCAATCAATTTATTTCTCTTCGTTCGAGCAAGTCGATAATCTATATGAATCAAACTCATTTTCAAACAAATCATTCCACAGAATCCAAGCTAGTCAAGATCATGAATCCTCTATATGGGATCCTACCATCCACTTATCAAGATCAAGTCTTAAAACACTCAACATTGATCTATTCAAAACAATTTTCAATCAAACCATTTCTCTTATTCAAAGCAAGTCAAGATCAGCATATAAATCAAAATCATTCTGCAGAATCCAAGCTAGTCAAGATCATAAATCTTCTATATCATATCCCACCATCTACTTATCAAGATCAAGTCTTCACCACTCAACATTGATTTATTCAAAACCATTTTCAAGCAAACCTTTTCATTTACTCAGAGCAAGTCAAGATCAGCATATAAATCAAAACTATTTTCAATCAAATCATCTCGTGGAGTCCAAGCTAGTCAAGACCATCTACTAATATTCTTCAAAATCTCCCATCAAACTCAACTCTCACAAAAACAAATCTAACAAAAGACAACACATAAAAACCAATAACAATAACATCTCTTACAATATCTACAAATCACCCAAATGGTCAAACAAAATTCTCCACAAGTCAAAAACAATCAAATCCACAACAGATAAAATGATAAACATCTTTCAAACACCCAAAAAGAAAAAGATCCCATATCAGATTTAAACAAATCAATCTGAGTTCAACATCAAATCCAATTAAACAAAAAAAATTTTTTTACTAAATAAATCTTTTAGTCAATCATTTTCCTCTCAGAATCACGTCGATTTCCGTGATGCTCACTCAGCCAATAGTTATCATCCTGAAAGTCACCATTCTCCTTGCTGCCAATATTATTGAGTTTCTTAAATAATAACTATTAGCTGAGTGAGCACCTGAGAAATCAACTGAATCTCAGAACCCCAAATCCGTCAATGATCCAATTTTTTTCACAAAATCATTTCAAAAAAAGAAAACCTGAGAGAAAAGCTTTAAGCCCAAACGGCGCCGTCAAGGCCAACAATAGCGGCAGCCTAAGGTGGTTCCCTTCGATTTCACGCAGGAGGTTCCTCTATATCGATTCTACCGTCTATATCAACATCAAGTCCTTACCACATCTCTCAGTAGTACTTCACCGGAACCCAATATTAAACTTGTTCAAAATCATTTCCAATCAATCAGTTCACTCAGTCAAAGCTAGTCAAGATTATAGATCCTCAATATCAGATTCTACCATCTACTTATCAAGATCAAGTCTTTACCACATCTATTAGTAGTTCTTCATCAGAACTTAATAACCTTTGTTCAAAACCATTTTCAATCAACCACTTCGCTTAGTCCAAGCTAGTCAAAATCATAATCCTCTATATCGGATCCTACCATCTACTTATCATGATCAAGTCTTTACCACTCAACATTGATTTTATTCCAAACCATTTTCAATCAAATCATTTTGCTTAGTCCGAGCAAGTCAAGATCAGCTATAGCCTATATGACCAAAACCATTTTCAAACAAATCATTCTGCAGAATCCAAGCTAGTCAAGTTCATAACCTCTATGTCGGATCCTACCATCTACGTAACAAGATCAAGTCTTCACCACTCAACATTGATTTTATTCCAAACCATTTTTCAATCAATTCATTTCACTTAGTCCGAGCAAGTCAAGATCAGCTATATGAATCATAACCCATTTTCAAACAAATCATTCCACAGAACCCAAGCTAGTCAAGATCATGAATCCTCTATATGAGATCCTACCATCTACTGATCAAGATCAAGTCTTAAAACACTCAACATTGATCTATTCAAAACCAGTTTCAATCAAACCATTTATTCAAAGCAAGTCAAGATCAGCATATAAATCAAAACCATTACAAATCATTCCACAGAATCCAAGCTAATCAAGATCATGAATCTTCTATATCATATCCCACCATCTACTTATCAAGATCAAGTCTTCACCACTCAACATTGATTTATTCAAAACCATTTTCAAGCAAACCTTTTCATTTATTCAGAGCAAGTCAAGATCAGCATATAAATCAAAACCATTTTCCATCAAATCATTTCACAGAGTCCAAACTAGTCAAGTTTCATCTAATAATATTCTTCAAATCTCCCATCAAACTCAACTCTCACAAAAACAAATCTAATAAAAGACAACACATAAAAACCAATAACAATAACATCTCTTACAATATCCACAAATCACCCAAACAGTCAAACAAAATTCTCCACAAGTCAAAAACAATCAAATCCACAACAGATAAAAAAGATAAACATCTTTCAATCACCCAAAAAAAAAGATCCCACATCAGATTTAAACAAATCAATCTAAGTTCAACATCAAATCCAATAGAACCCAAAAAAAAACAATTTTTTTAATAAATACATCTTTCAATCAGTCATTTTCCTCTCAGAATCATGTCGATTTCAGTGATGCTCACTCAGCCAATAGTTATCATCCTGAAAGTCACCATTCTCCTTGCTGCCAATATTATTGAGTTTCTTAAACAATAACTATTAGCTGAGTGAGCACCTCAGAAATCAACTGAATCTCAAAACCCCAAATCAGTCAAAGATCCAATTTTTTTTCACAAAATCATTTCAAAAAATAAAATTAAAAAAAAAAGACCTGAGGGAAAGTTGAGCTTTTAGCCCAAACAGCGCCGTCAAGGCCGACGATAGCGGCGGCGCTGAGGTGGTTCCCTTCGATTTCACACAGGAGGTGATCGTCGACATATACTTGCCACGACATGATTTTCCGATGAGGATTTTTTTGAATTTTTTTTGTGCTCTGAAAAAAAGATGTGTGATGAAATGAGAAATTATCATGGCTATTTATTTATAGATGGGTGGGTACTTCCATGGCATTTTAGAAAAGACATAAATGCCCCTAAACCCATATTCCGAAAGGATCGAGAGCGGGTTAGAGAAACTTACATAAATTTCACTAATTAAGATATCTCGGATTTTATAAGGTTTGTTCAGATACGTGTATTTCGGAATGAATTGTTGATATATTGTATTCAAGTGGACTCGTATGTATTTGGGATAGATAGACCACTCTTCGCTTACCACTCTTCTACATATGTGGTATCTCAAATATATGTGATTCACATCAGATATATATATATATATATATATATATATATATATATATATAT